CTTAATAAAATTCACTAGTGAAATGGAGAATGACGGTAAGCTGGCTTTTCTGGACGTTTTGTTGAGGAGGCGCGAGGACGGATCACTTGAGCGTAGAGTCTTCCGCAAAGCTACTTGGGTAGGACAGTACACACACTTTTCGAGCTTTGTCCCTCTGAGGTACAAACGCAACTTAGTACGTTGCTTGAATTACCGGGCCACCAAAATTTGTAGTCCCGAAACTCTCGAAGACGAGAAGGACCGAGTTGTGAAAACACTTCTTGCGAATGGATACCCAGAGCCTTTCATCAAAAAGCATGCCATGACCCGTGAGCGTGATAAGCCCGTAGCAACGGTTCCGAAGAAGGATGTGTTTCTCACTGTTCCTTTTAAGGGAGATATCGCCTTCGATCTCCTGAACAGAAGACTTTCTAATGCCGTAGCAAGAACCTACCCGGCCGCCCAACCGCATGTAGTTGCAGAGACCGCTCCCTTCATAGCTCAACGCCTTAAAGACAGACTGCCAGTGTCGTCCGAATCGTACATTGTTTACCAGTTTACTTGCACCTGTGGTGCAAAGTACCTCGGGCATACGACCAGGCGTCTGTCGGTACGAATAGCTGAACATTGTCCAGGGTCATTGCGGAGAGGCATGCACAGAAGTATCAACAGCTCAATTATGGAGCATCTGATTCTTAGTGGGCATCAGATTCTGACAAAAGATGCTTTCAAAGTCTATTATGCCGTACCGAGGCGATACCCGAAAGGGCTAAGGAAACGCCTCCTGCAGACAGCTGAAGCCATCGCGATCAGGCTAACACAACCAGAGCTATGCAAGCATAGGGTGCTCGTGCAACCCTTGACTTTGCCATGGCCCTGATGATAAGGTTCCCCGGAGTATCTCGCTTAACCGGGTGCTATTTATTTGCGTAATTAACTAATTTTATTTGGTTAGTAATTTTGCCCTTTCTGTTTACACAAGTTTTTTAGCTCTCGCTTAGCCCGATCACGATGTCACCTGATTAAATCGATTCGAGCATCAAATGAACATACTAAAACTGTTCAAATCGTCCCATCCGTCCTCATTGTTACTTGCACCAGTTTACTAATGCATTTTACAGTCCTGTAGTTGTATTTGCCTGATGTGATCTGCCGAAAAGAGATCTCTTTGCAACACTGTGTTTTAATCTTCCATGGGCATTATTTATGGATATCTGTTACCTTTCCGAAACCAGATAGCAAGAAGCCAGTCCCGTCATCCGAATGACATCCCCGGCAAACCGTGAGGTCAAATACCACTTGCGCATTTCCGGAGACCCAGAGGCCGCCACTTCTGGTCTAGCTGGTGTCGAGGTTGCACTGAGTGACAGGTCTGGGGTCGCTTTGCTTGACGGGATCCCGGTAAACAGTCGGCTATGTGCAGTCAGACTAAGAGGTTCATGTAACGTAAGCAGGCGTCGAGACGTTAAGCGTGCCTTGTTTGTCGTCTCCGCCTATGACCCTACAGACTGCAGCCTGGATGCAGTTAAAGATAGCTTTTACCACCAACTACATGAACTTCTGCGTTCCTCCAAACGGACTGATATAGTCATACTTGCCGGGGACTTTAACGCACGAGTTGGCCGCCTTCCACCAAGCGAGCACCATCTTGGGGGTAGTTTTGGCCTCAGTAGCAGCCGAGCAGACAATGGAGACAGACTACTGACTCTTCGTTCTGATCATCGCTTGTTTCTTTCGAGCACAAGTTTTCGTCATTCGAAAAGACAGACTGCCACCTGGCGTTTGTCTTCTCAAACACAAGAATGGTCCCAGCTTGAGTACATAGCAATAAGCTACAGATGGCGCGGAAGCATAACAGACTGCCGACCGTACTGGTCAACTTGCCTGAACTCCGATCAAGCACTGGTTCGCGCCAAAATTTGCATGCGTCTGGGAAGATCATCCAGACGTACGCACTACCGAGCGAATGTCTAAAACCAGCAACATCCTGCAAAGTTAGCCAAGTACCAGGCTTCTCTGTCAATATTAGTTGCTTCATCCTCTGACGATAGTCTCAATTCGCAGTGGATGCGCATCAAAAACACCTTAATTCCTTCCAATACTGTCAGTTGTGGATTTGCTTGTCACACGCCGAAAAGCTATCACCACTGCCTCCTTATCGCTGATGAACAGATGCCGCTTGATCCCAGCCGACACCAGCTGTGGGGAGGAACGCCGATCCCTGGAGCGAGCATTGCGTAGGAACTTAAAGAAGGACCGTGAGACCTGGTGATGTGAACATGCTAGAGAGCTGGAACTTGCTAATCTCCCTGCTAACAGCAGAAAACTGTTCCACCTCATCTGAGTCACCGAAGCCATCCGATCAGTAGTAAGCGAGACAATTTGCGAAGATGATGGCTCCATAATTATTTAACTTCAAGGACGGTTGGAGCGTTGGGCAGAATATTTTCGCTCGCAGCTTTCCTGGCAACAAGCCCCATCAGTTTCCCCTGGGGCGGGCACTGGTAATGAGTGGACTATCCCAAGTGATCCTCCCTCTAACAAGGAAATCTGGAAGGAACTCTGCTGCCTAAAGCGCTATAAGGCACCCGGCCCTGATGGTCTATCTTCTGCTCTATTTAAAGATGGGGGCTCTTCGCTAGTTTGAGAACTCACCGCTTTGTTCTCAGAAATCTGGGCAAAAGAGGAGGTTCCATCATCCTGGATTTAGTTGGTAGCCGTCCCCATCTTCGAAAAGGACCTGAGCACAAATTGCTCCACTTACAGGGGCATAAGTTTCGTTCCCGTCGTTTGCAAGATTCTGGTGTCCATCATTCTTCGCAGGCTATCCCCAACGCGTGAATCACTACAGCGAGAAAAACACGCAGGGTTCCGCGCAGGCGTATGCATCAAGCAGGTTTTCACACTCCGCAAGATTCTCGAGCTTCTCCATGTATATCAAAAGCCAACGATTGTTGTGTTTCTGGATATCCGTGCTAGCTTTAATTCTGTCAATAGGGCTGCGTTGTGACACTATCTGTCGAGGAATGGTATTCTCGGAAAGTTCATTTCCATTCGGCGTGCTCTCTATAGTCTGACCTCAGGTAGAGTTAGGGTTTATGGCAAGCTTACGCCTTCCTTTGTTGTCACCAGTGGGGTTCGACAAGGATGCCCCATCCCACCATTCCTCTTTAACTTTGCCATTGAGGATGTCCTCAAAAATGCTCTAGAAGACTTGTTGAACACTGGTGTGGAGCTCCTCCCAGATAGTCAGGTAGCTGATTTGGATTACGCTGGTGATAACGTCTTGTTGGGTGACGGACTACAGGCCGTCCAACTTGCACTTAAAACGTCTGGCGATGGAACCGTCGAAGTATGGCATGCACTTTTCACCATCCTAATGCAAAGCGCTTTTCAAGACTGGTATACGCCCTACTTGCACTCACCATCGATGGGGATAAGTTAGAAGTAGTACCGAGGTTTGTCTATCTAGAGAACTGTATAACTGCTGGTGGGGTTGTTAGAAATGAGGTTTCGATGCGTATCTCAAAAGCTCGTCCCACCTTCTCCGGGATGAGTCATTTATGGCATCGCCATGACATCAGTCTCTCCATCAAGGGACGGGTTTACAGTGCCACTGTACGCGCTGTACTGTTGTACGGTTGCGAAACTTGGCCTGCGCGTACCAATGACCAACGTCGACTGTCTGTCTCCGAGAACCGTAGCTTGCGGTCCATCGCCTGTGTGTGGTGACTGAACCAGGCAGCTAACCCTGAAGTCAGACAGTGTGTCTTGGGTGGAGACAGCCACTCCCTCTCGACGCTTGTCTCGCTGCACCAACTACGATGGCACGGACACGTACTGCGTATGCCCGCTCAGCGTTTTCCGCATAGTGCCTTGTTCGCGGTCGCTGGACAAGGTTGGAGGAGGCGGTTTTGTGGACAAACTACAACTTGGAGAAGCAGGATGAAAAAGCTGAAGAAACAGCTGGCCACGGTTGGTTCCTCGCGACCACCTGGATGGGGTCCCAAGGATGCTGACTGCATTTGGTTGGAAACGTTGGAAGTCATGGCTCGAAGTCGAACTCAGTGGTGGGCGTGTATCTCTGCTTCTTGCGGTGATTCCACTTCCTATCCCCAATAAAAAACATCAAAAAAGCTCAAAAAGTGTGAGTGGAAAATGGACAAAAAATTGTTTGCTTGCGTTCTTCTTTAACTCTAACCCTGTTCTCTTATTTCGCCATGGTTCCGATGGCACAATCTGTGAACAGACTGCGATATATATATATATATATATATATATATATATATATATATATATATATATATATATATATATAATTTATAGAATATTCGGCCAGTGATCTTCAACGGTGTTCAGTGGGCGCTTACTCAGCCCGGACGTCAGCGAACTTTGGCACGCATTGTGTGAAACGATAGTCTGATGCTTTTCAGAATGGGTAGTTGCATTTCTGGCTTGTAATCTAATTGAAAGGGGACAAATAATCAGTACCAAATCCGTCTACTCATAAGTAAGCTGAGCTGTGTTAAGATGTAACACCATGGCGGTTATGAGTTAAGGATTGATTTTCTGCACCCAGAATAGGTGAAACGGGTCGGCAGAGGTTCACAAAAATCAATGCTATGTGAAGAGAGAAGGAGGCCTGTCCGAGTAGCAAGCGTGATAAAACAGCCCGGCCCATGGAATATAAGCGGATGGAAGTACACGGTGCTCAGAGAAAGATATTCGTTCTCTGGTAATCCAGCGTTTGTTGGCGTCACGACTTAGGACGATGAGGAGGAAATCGGTAGATAAAAAAAAGGAAGTGGGATGCCAACAGATTCTGGAAAAAGGTCAGTATGAAAAAAGCAAGTAAGTGAATAAAGAATAAAGTTTATGAGCTGTGAGTCGTACTCATAAATTCGCATGAGCAACGTGCCCGTGGAGACATCAGAAAGCAGTATAAAGATGACGGACAACCTACGGAGGAACGAACAGAGGACAGGAGGCCAGATGTGGAGAAGTCAATCTGCGGCACTTGCCTTTCCAAAAGTTCTTGATTGAACAACTGAGTGTTCGACGTTAGCATAATTTGCACTTCGCGGTGAGAGGCGAGGATCAGTTCCGGGCGAGACAACTGGGGCAGGATCGCAGACAACAGCGTCCGTGCGAAACCAAGAGGAGACCATGTGACGAGACGCTCTAAAGCACGCGAATGGGTCTGTGAGAACAACAAAAGTTAGATGAATAACGCCGGTATGGTAGCGAAGTAGCCAGTGTATGGCTAGGATTAGCCCGAATGAGTAGAAAGCATTCATAAGAAAGCTGACTCGATAGACTAACAGTAAAATGTATAAAATGTCGATAATCAAGAGTTCGACATGTTTGGAAAAAGCAAACTTCTAGATCAAAGCAGTACCCTTGAAAACAGCAGTGACACGACAGGGAATAAAGAATCAGAGAGGAAGAGAACAGAAATGACAAGCGGATGAGAAAGTCTTTAAAACTTGTGTACGATGCAGCAAGATGAGAATGGTGAAAATGAACAAATCAATAACAACCCAGTCAGGCAGCAAGGTATTAAAGTCTCTTGAGAGGCGCCAATTCGGACGTAGCTATGTAAACATTGGAGGTTTGTATGAAATTCCACAACGTCTGTAGAAAAGCAGAAAAATTAAGTCACATTCTACAGATTAGACGGGGGGGGGGAAGGAAAGGGACCCACAGATTGGTAATAAGAGCTTAAGGTAACAAACCTCGGTACGGTTGGTGAAAAAATGGTAGGCAAAAGATAGCTTGTGTAGGCAAATGTATGCCCCAATCTCTCCCAAATCAGATATCTCAGACACATCATGTGATGAGAATGTTATCCTGATCTAATAACGATAATGATCGTGTTCCCCCGGAGAAAATAAAGGGTATCGGTTAAAGTCTGTCCTCGACAAACTATCCGTTGATTGGTAAGATGTGGCCCCTGGCCAGGGAGCGCGACCACCGCAAAAACCAGCCACAAGATTCAAGACTTTAGGAGCTGTAAGTAGTTAGCAACTCATCGTGAAACCCCAGTACACTTAAAAAGTACAAAGCATTTAAATATCTCCCTTATAGTCTTTTGCCTCGAAGACTCACAAAACTACCATCCAGAGAAACTTCTATCGCTGCGCTACGGAAACTGGATAGACAAGAATACTCTTCCGATCCAATAATGAGAGGATCATGTTTGTACAAAACCGTGTGTGACGACTGTGGATGATTTTCGAACACATGAGAGACATAACCCAGTATAACTATTAACAAATTTAGAATTAGGGGACAGTGCGCGCATTAGGATACGAAAATGGACAAAAGGTTAAGCAGAGTCGGACTATCAAAGAGGTGGTATATAGGCTGGAAAAAAGGATTTAGTAAAGAACTTGTCATACTGGATCGCCAGTAACTATCGTTGGTGCCAGCTGTGATAAGCTAAACTAGCGACCGAGTTGCAACACTTGCCAATGAGGCATGAGAACAATAAACCTTGGTGTTGATGTAATCAGTGAAAAAGTGCTTGCAAAACTGCGGTGAATCAAACCGCCCGAAATCGAAGAGTCAAACAAATGCTTCCTTAAGGATATCACATTCCATCTGAAGGAATCGCGTTCCCCGATAAACAGCGCATGCAATGCATTTCCATTCGGAAATTACCATGTAATTACAACATAGTAAAGACCAAACTGTGCATCGGTCTCATCTGCCGATCGTTCGGGTTCCATGAACTAGTCTTGAGTTATATATGCGATTTTAATGCACTAATACGCGGAAGTGTGATAGAAGAGCTCTTGAGAGAGTGCAGAGGCGCTTCAGGGACAACACTTGATAGGGCATTTCAGTACTACCAGGGACAATGTTAAGAACTTGGTCTTGATCCTTTAGGCAACTTCGAGGCTGGCTAGCCGAACAACCTCCTCGTGGTGCCAGCTGGGTGGTTCGGGTTTAACCCGTTCCAGCAAATAGTTCGGCGGCAGTGTTCCAGGACGTGGTGGGTTTTCGCCCGGCAAGCGTGCTCCCTATAAAAAGCCACAAATGTCTGCTTATCAACACTGTAACGTGGCGGATGTGACTCGCCACAAAATAAAGTCACTGGGCCGTGGACATCCGGAAAATGGTATCCAACTCACGGACATCGATCGCTTATTCTTACATTGCTACCTTCAAAAATACAAGCTACATTCATAGACAATTACATACATATATACACCCATACACTTACATTCACTGTTATGCCAAACATGTACTCTTTGTACATTTTGATCACACTATGTTAGCTAAACATGATCATGCCTGTACTGGTGTGCCTCGCATTGTCGAGAATAAAAGTTCATTTATTTATTTATAACCATTCTGTGCATGTTGACATCAGTAGCGCGTACAGATCGATATCAACAAATGCAGAAGCAATGCAATGAGGCTTCTTGTGCTAAGGCACCTTTGTAGGGAGAAATGCTTCCATACATAGTATTCGCAAATACGGAACAAACTACCAGAAAACATTAGGCAGGCTAAAGTACTTAAGTTTTGAAGCAGATATATACAGGGGCGCCTTACGGCGAATACCACAAAAATGTGCCAACCGATAAAAGGGGAAGTCAATGAAGCACAGTCAAACCTGTTTAAGACGACCACTCAAAGGACCGACAAAAAGTGGTCGTCTTGGACAGGTGGTTGCGATGAACAGGTTCATGCATAGGGATATTACTTATAGAAAAAAATGTTGATGTTTTTGGCTAGTCGCCATAGACAGGTGGTCATCATAGCAGGTTAGACTGTTTCTGGAAGCGGAGGAAGTAACATGTAGAAAAAACGAGGAACCTAGAAAAGGCACTTTCAGTCGTCCGATTGTTTTTTACGCGACCACATCTGTCGGAGGCCGAGGTCCGAAACGGGACCGCAGACCTCAATCGTTTTCGTGCCGCTGGCGGCTGCACAATCAACCCTGAATAGCCTGTCCCATTATTTGGTATGCACTTCGCACCTTCAAAGTGCAAACTGTTGCTGCAGGACCACCAACCACTTGATGATCCCTTAACCCTTTATAACGAGGAACTCGAGGTGGTTGATCAATTCACTCATCTTGGCAGCTGTATCAGCAACGATGGACGCATAGAAACTGACGTCAGCTCACGCATTGCAAAGGCCAGAGCTGCGTTCTTTAACTTGCGGTATCTTTGGCGACATATTTTTCTCTCCGTCTGAAAGGCCGTGTATACAAGGCCACAGTGAGGGCCGTCCTGCTCTACGGATGAGACTTGGCCCCTTCGGTGTGAAGATCTGAAGCGCCTTCAAGTCGTTGATTATCGTTGTATGCGAAGCATCCAGCGAGGCACCAGTGTGTCCGCAACGATGATGTGCGTAGGCGAGTACTAGGTAGCAATAATCATGCTAGCTTCCTAGAACAACAGGTAGCACTGAATAAGTTGCGTTGGCTCGGGCACGTGCTACGTATGCCTGGTCACCGTTTACCTAGGAGGGTCTTGTTCAGTCTAGCAGATGTAGGGTGGCGCAAGGCTCGAGGTGGACAGAAGTTGACTTGGCAACGGGAAATGAAGTCACTGACGATCAAACTGGGTGCTGTTGGTCTATACAAGGTGTGGGCGCCTTGACCCTGAATGTTTGCTTAGGGCATTAACTTTTTCAGGTAAGTCCCCTTTCTCTCCCCCTTCTTATCCTTTATTCCATAGGTCATCATATTTGTATGGCAACGAAGCATCAATTCAAATGGCTGATGTATCGCTGTTGATGATAACATCCGCCTTGCAGCTCTCATGTCCACATAGGGGTCAGACAGAGGAAACAAACCGAGCTATTATCTCCAATATTTGCACTTCTGTTATGTGCAAATGTTACTGGGCGTCGATATATGTAATGTTCAAATACTATATCAATAACAAAATATTTATTTCGCTATAGAATGTCAAAAGGTTAAAGCAAACGAGGCCTCTTGCATTTATCCCACCTTCTAATGCTCATTTGATAAGGAACATGGTGAAAGAATTAGCATATGCGCAAATCCCTGTTCCCATGCCTTGGCCATCTTCCCAACTGTATTCAACATTAATTTTTCCTTCATGTAAAGTGGTAACATATGCTGTTTACATAGGTAAACCGTAAGTCGCCAGTGCGACATGAATGGCCAACCATGCCGATGCTGGTGCTCAAACTTTCCAGAGTTAACCAAACTCACGTTAGAACTTTGTACTAAGTCGTTACTTACTGGTCTATCGAGATAGTGACTATACATAACATTTTCCTTTTCTGTTAACTTGGTCATTTTTTCACAAAATGTACGACAGATGAAATGGGCGAGATGTGAGCACTGGAAAATTTCACAAAAGTCGCTTGACCACATAAAGAAAGAAAATCCTGGATAAGTCCAAGCATACATGGGTATTTTTATACTTCCTACACCGCTGCCAAAGATTCGCCAATCGCTGCACTTGAACATATTTACTTGCTCTCAGGCGCGGACATGAAACATCTGTAATATTTTGGATCTGACCCCACCTAGGATCGGCCTCTCGCAAGATCGATTAATATACTAGTTCTCTTTAAAGTTACTTAGTTAAAGAAAATTACCGGCATTACAATGACTAGTAAAGATAAACAAAACGCCGTGGGGAGAATGGAACGAAGTCAAAAGTACCATCAGCTTTTCGGGAAAGATTTAGAGCCAATGGTGAGACGAACATAGTATAGGATAAAGAAGATAGGCGCCAACCTGACTCAGTGTTCTTAGGCCAACGTTCTTCATTGACCGAGACAACACGTTGTTCGAATAAAGGTAGCACTGATGGGCACTATACAAAGGTAGTTAAGGTGATAGGATGGTATCAACACAAACAGTTCTCTGAAGAGGAGACGGAGGGAAGAGTGCCGAAGGTCAAGTGGATAGCTTCGGCTCGCAGACATTGATGATACGGAGCAATCCACCCTAAAAATGTCTTCAATGAGCAGTGGTCATAGCTCCAAACAATACAACAGCCCTGGATGCAACACACAGCGCAGCAATCTCTGTCTCCACTCAATAAGACCATGTTTGGGCACCTCTGCAGATGGGCGGGACATTGAAAAGCTACCATGCTGACAAGTGTCGAAAAACGTCGGAGGTCAAAAAACCGCAAGCACTGACATGCAAATTCATTAAATATAGAAGTTGGAACTCACAAAATCCAAACACGGCAGTTGCAGGAAATATTGGACTGTCTCAGCCCATTTGGAAGCGAAATACTCATCCCCAACTAAAGAGGCACAATGGGAGCCGTCGCAAACGGTGGGAAATCCCATGCAACGTCTAACATCATCCCACAGTCCTGGCACAGCCAATTCTAAGGTGAACGAAAGAAAAACAGAACACACTGAGGGTACGGAAAACGAAAGATGCGTTATTTTTCTTGTCTACCTATCCAAACATTTTCATGCGAGCACGTTAAAACACGCATGGATTACATATTTGGCGGGCTGCCGATCACTACTCATTAAAACGCTGGACCAATGGTTCGGACACATAAGTGGATCGCGAGGCAGACTCCGGCAACAGTCATCGACTGTAACGCTCACATCATCAGCATCATTATCATCATCAGTATACACGTTAGCTAGATGTGGGAAACACCTCAGCTAGTGTGCCGCAATACATAGAAAAAGGAGAGAAAAAAATGCAACTGGAGCAAGTCAGCTGAGCTACCGGTAACGGATGGGCATCGTTCCGATAAGCAACCAGCCGGCTACTATGCGGCAGGAAAAAATAGTTTACTATGCAAAATTACAAAATGCTAAATACGTAGATCGTGGTTGGAGAAGGAGGCTAAGAGGGATAGGGTGGGACAAAGAAACTCACAGCACGAACGCCACTGAGATCGGCTCCTTGCCATATCAGCAAGTGTGTCCAACCAAACGTGTTCATCGTCGTTCGGACCCCAACCAGGGAGCCGAGATGCTCCAACCAAGGCCAGCTCCGAAACGAGGACCTTCATTCCTCTGGACCAAGTCATCGTTTGGCCACCCCTCCTCTTCTTCCATCCACACCTCCGGACGCGCAAACAACGCACGGCGCGGGAGTCGGTGGACTGGCATGCGTAACACGTGGCCCAGCCATCGGAGCCTGGTGCGTGAAATGACAGTGCTGAGCGATTCATTTCCTTTTCCTCTGCCGTAAACAAGGTGCCAAACTCTCTGGTTGCTAACTCGGTGTTCCCACCAGATGTGAGCTAAATTGCGAGGGCACCGGTGGTCGAACGTAACTAGCCTCTTCAGGTCCGCTGCTCTAAGGTGCCAGGTTTCACAACCGTACAGTAGGGTCGAACGTACCGCTGCATTGTACACTCTACCCTTCAGGGTGAGAGTAATGTCGCACGGGCGCCACAAGTGGCGAAGGTTAGCAAAAGCGCCCCGAGCTTTTGCTATACGGTTCGTGATCTCATCTTCCATCCCACGGGCGCTGATACAACTTCACAGGTAGTTGAATTTTTGTACGACGTCTAGCTGATCCCCACCAAGGGTCAGCGTAGAAGGCGGTCCAGACAAATCTTGGAGGAACGCTTTGCACTTCGAGGGTGTGTAGCAAAACCAGAAGTGGCGGACTGACAATGTTAATCTGTACAGTGCCGCTTGACACGTTTGTGTGTTGTCACAAATTAGGGCAATATCATCAGCATACTCTAAGTCAAGAAGTCGTTCTCCTGGGAGTAGCTCCACACCTTCTTAGTCGTGTCCTGTAAACGCGACTTCTGTGACTTCATCAATAGCGGAGTTGAAGAGGAAAGGTGACAACGGGCATCCTTGTCTCACACCGCTGGAGATATTGAAGGGTGGCGACAACTTGCCGTAAGCCCTCACTCTGCCAGTGCTACGCGCATATAATGCTCGGATAATATTCACATATTTCTCAGGTACACCTTTCCTGAGTAGACAGTCCCGAAGTGCATATCTATCCACCGAATCGAATGCACCTTTGATATCGAGGAACACGACAACGGTGGACCGCCAATATATGTGGCGGTGCACCAACAACTGACGCAAAGTGAAGATGTGGTCAATGCTGCCACCACCTCGACGGAACCCTACCTGCTCTTCATGAATCTGACTTTCACGAGTGTCAGCCAGTCTGTGAAGGATGACAGAGGCAAGAAACTTGGAAGCGATGGAGATCAGACTGATTCCTCTATGGCTGCCGCATTCCGATCGTGAGCCTCCCTTGAAAATTGGGACTATGACCGAGCGGCTCCAGTCGGTTGGGACAGTCTCCTGATACCAGTTTCACTAGTAACTCCTGTAAATCGTCCACAAGAGCAGGCCCCCCGAATTTGAAGAGGGCTGGAGGAAGATCATCTGGTCCAGCAGCTATATTTAACTTCAACAGTGCGATCTCACGTTCGACTTCTGAGCGAGAGAGTGGATCCAAAGGGACAGCCCACGGAGCGGGGCGATCAGTGGCCGGCGAGAAATCTAACAATTCCGGCCGATTAAATTGCCTTTCATAGTTCTCAGCCCAACGATCCAAGCGTCTTGGCAAGTTGTGAATAGGCTGTCCACTCTCGTCAAGTATAGCTTCACTAACACCAGGTCTCCTGCTCCCCGTTCCCCGTATCAGACGGAATAACTTACGGTGGTTGCCAAGGGCAGCGGCCATTTCCATCTCTGATGCACGATAACACCACCTGGATTCGCGGTCTCTCTTCAGGCTAGCGCGGAGTTTTGCCCGGGGCTCTTTGCGAGTTTCATTGTGTTCGCTTCCAGCCGGAAAATGCCGGCGAGCATCGATAAGTTCCAGAGACTGCGAAGAGACACAATGTCCATGTTGTCTATTAGACATACCACATGAGGATTTGCCTGCTGCAAGTAAGGTCTGGTGAATATGAGACTAGTGACCTTCAATTGCATCCAGTGAGCGTTTATCCAACTCGCATGACAGCGTACTTTGATAGGCAGTCTGAACAGCTGGCTTCGCCAGTTGGCTGGTGTCAATGCGCTCACAACGTCGTCGTGGGCGTCCGCCAAAACGCATCCGCAGGTCAGCACATACAAGTGCATGATCGGTGTCTACACATGTGCCCCAAATCCAGCGACAGCTTTGGACGCAGCCTCTCCATCGGTAATTTATCGCAATGTGATCGATTTGCGTCCATAGCTGGTGGGCGCCAAGTCACCCTCCGGCGGGTGCTGTGTCGGAAATTAGTGCTCGCAAGAAATAAGCGAGTATCCTCACACAAATGACGTAACCGCCCCCGGTTATCATTACGGGAGCCTACATCATGTTGGCCGCCCAGATGCAGTTCCTCTGTGTAATGCTCACAGACTGTAATGATCTAAGATACTACTGAAAGGGATGACTCTCGTTTGTCCGAAGCTGCTCGCAGCCTACGACGCACCTGATCCGTGATCCAACAAATAAGGGAGCAGTGGGTTTGATGTTCCCGCGCTTCACTTAATCGCCTCATAAGCCAACAGCAATAGAATATACATTCAACAAGAACACGGCCACTAGTACAACTGGCATAGTGCCACAACCTACGGAAAATACAATAAACGAAGGAGAAAAAGAAAAAGAAATAAACCGGTGATCATGGGAATAGAGAGACAAAACAGGTACGCCACTGTGCGCGGTTTCTTGCCATATCCGCTTAGATTGCCAGCTATGCGCATTGCTGATCCTTCACACCCTAGCTATGGAGCCGAGAGCACCCGACCACGGCCAACTTTGACCTTAGTTTCTTCATGCTCCTGGCCCAAGTCATAAATTGGCCAATTTTCTTTCGCTTCCAGCCGACCTCTGCGCGCGCGAAGAGAGCAGGCAAGGTCAACAATGGGTAAGCATGCGAAGAACATGCCCAAGCTACTGAAGTCTGCGCAGAGTAATTAGGCTGCTCAGTGGCCGGCAAAGTCTGGCTGGTCTGAAAGTCCTCCGCCGAACATGTGCATTACCAGTGTGATGTTGCTATCGTACGCCAACAATGCTCCGAAGGCAGCGGTGATCGAAAATAGGCAGCCTCACAATATCCCTTGGGCGAACAGGCAAAATCTCGCAGCCATAGAGCAGAAATGCTCTCAATGTGGTTTTGTAAACTCGGCCCTTCAGAGATGGCGGAGATTGACAAAAGCAACCCGAACCTTGGAGAAGCACAAAGAGAATAGAAACAAAAGAAAAGTAAGAAAAATTGCGTTAAACTAATCGGGTTAGGATGGGAATTAACAGTTAGATGCAAGAAACCGAATGCAGGAAAGCCACTACCAAAAAAACCTGGCGAACGTCAGCATTGATCACCCTGTATTCCCACCAGAAGTGAGCAATACTCCGCAAGTACCGCCAAGCGTTTAATTTCTTCATTGTGAAGTTGACAGGTTGTTCATCTATACAGTAAGACGGGCCTTTATCGCAGCGTCATGCACCCGACATTTCACTGACAGGGTAACATCCCGCGATCTCTAAAGATAGTTGAGCCTCTGGAAAGCCATACGGGCCTTGCTGACACGCGATGTAACCTCCTCAGTGATGTGACCGCCAGAATTGACACAGCTATCAAGGTACGTGGACCGATCCACCATTTCCAGTGGCTGATCGGTGAGAGCTGGAATCAGTGGCGTATCGGTCCAATGCTGCAACGGTACTCTGCACATCAAATCTGCAAAGCACACGTCGAAGTGTGCAGTGCTACGCATCCGCATGTGCAGTGGTTCTCTCATAGTCAGTGCATCAAACCTAAAGAGAGCAATGCCGTCCGCATACTTTAAGTTTGTCAGCCGGTCGCTTGGCAGAACCTCCACTCCGATAGAATACGAAAGGACCGAGTCATTTATGGTCATTTTGAGCACAAAGTTGAGTAGGAAAGGATACAAACCACAGCCCTGGCGAACTCCACTTGTTGTGGGGAACTCAGGAAACAGTTTCCCGTAAACCGTTACATGGATACGGGAATCACGGTAGTGACTTCAGAATGGGAGGTTAGCTCGAACGCTTCTTCGAGGATACGTAGTGCCACAAGATAGCAGAATCAACAGAGTTGAAGGCGGCTCTGAAGTCGTTCGTATGTGTGTCTCCGATCTAACGCTCAGCGAAGAATAAATATGTGGTTGATGCAGCCATGATCAGGGTGAAAGTCAGCCAGGCTTTCAGCGATTGGTTTCTCACTGGGACCAGTAAGTCATCGAAAAATGATACCCATGGGAAGTTTGGAGGCAAGGAAACGAAGAACAATGTCCCGATGATTTTCGCACAAACTACGCTCAAACTGACGGATGCCTTAGAGGTTGGAGGAGTGCAGAAGTTAAAAACATTCTTCATGGCACATTTGAGACGGTGCCAGCCATCGTTAGGCTCACCAACCTCATTTATCACTGACATTTGGTGGGGTTCTTTAAAGCGAGAAGAATGAGAACCAGGCGTGCGCCCACGAAGGCATGGTTGGAATCCAGGCAGGTGCTCCAAATTAACCGACAGTCATGGACTGATGCGCCACCTGTATCTGATGGCAATCTGGTCAATATGGATACATGTGATGGAGAATTTCGGCGGTTGCAAAGTGACGCGATGTGAACATTTGTGTTAGAAAGCAGTCCTGTTAAGGTAAAGGTTATGCTCGGGCCACAGTTGCAGGAATCGATCACCATTGTCTGTTCGGCGTGCATCGATGCCGAAGCGGTCGCCCAGGTGCTGTTCAGCCTGAAGGAGGATCCACTTGAGCATTCATGTCCTCAGCAGCAATCACAATGTCGGTATTTTTCGTTATGTGAAGAAGAGATGAGAGAAGATGATAGAAATCACCTTTGATGCCTTCCAAACCCCAGTTAATAGGGGCAGAAACGATGCATGGTAACCTCAATGGACGTTCGTAGTTGAATCACACACATGCGGATGTGCATTAGTATGCAGTGGAATAGAATGCATTCAGTGTGAAGTCTTGATTGCTTCCCTGATCTGAGTAATCTTATTACAAACGCTTCATCTCCAATGGAGGTAACATCTTCAAAGCGTAATCGCATCTTCCTAGTAGATATTGATTTTCGAGCAAATCCACAGCTAGATTCTGTGGGCCAGGGAAATGTTCATCATATACATTCTAAGCGTTCGCAGCTACGCTTCATTGAGATTGGTTGTCCCTCTGGGTCCTCCAAGATACCTAGCACCACAGGTGCAGGTGAACTGGCATAAGACAAACGATTCTTGGACATACGACCAGGTGTTTGTCCAAAAGAATCGCTGAACCTTGTCCTGTGTTACTACGAAAAGGTACACCGTAAAATCCATCAACGGTTCCGTTTTACAACACTTGGTCGACACTGCACATCAAGTCCAGATGAATCACTCGTTTCAAGTCGTTTATACTATCCCTAAACGCTACCCAAAACAGCTTAAGAAACATCTGTTGACCATTTCCGAAGCCATTGCAATCAAGGTTCTGAAACCAGAGCTGTGCAAACAGCGCACATTGTTACAGGCTCTGAAATTGCCTTGGCCTTGAACTTGACATATGACCTGCCTTGATCACGAGTTTTCAATTCGTTTTACATCTTTCTCATTTGTTGGCATCAAGTATTAATGAGCAGGTTTGATGAATTCTCAGTTGAAAACCAAGCTTCTAGTAATTCTTTTCCTGTTCTTGTGGTTCCAAGTGTTAGAATCTCCGGGGCAATCTAACAAAGGTCGTGGCCTTCATCGAGGTGCGCCGAAATCAACGATGAAGCGAAATGGTCTCCGCAGGCACCTTTAAGCCTCTGCAATGTCATAGAGCATCTCCGTCTTGTTAAGCCCAAATGTTTTTGTATGCCTCCACTTTTGATGTTGGTTTGAACAGAGTTCTTTTTAGCGTGGAAGCGCACTGCAGTACTTTAGAAACAAAACGTATGTAAGAGAAGCATTTGTTGACTTTCTTCATAAGCAAAGAGTTATCCACGCAGTTCCGTCAGAAGAGAAATTAATCGCGAAACTACAAATACAACAGTTACACCGAAAAAGACGAGACGGACAGTCTCAGAACTGATTGCTAGACACCTCGAACCCCACCGTCCAGTCGCTGCTCACAAACTAACCTTCTTCAGTATGTGCGCTGAAGGCGATACCAACCGGGAAATACCGTGGGTCATTGACTCCGTATCACCAGAGACGCGAAGAGCGGAGTTATGGTCGTCAGATTCAGAACCATGGAGTGAAATACTCATCCCTATGCTGTTATCTCGTATGTGTGTTTCGGGGGCACAGCATACATCAATACCAAGAGAGTGAAGAGTGACAGTGTTACCTGTTAACCGATCTGACCAACAGTGCGGACGTTAAAAGAACCGGTCTGAAATGAAACTCTGGGTTTGATGGACGAGTTACGAGTATCAATGGCAGAGACAGCGATGTCAGCTGCAGTCTATTACTGGACAAACGAGGAAAGGGTGGGAAAACTAGTGGAAAGGGAATATTGTTGACGGGGTTGAGATGGTAGAGATGACACTCCCCGGCTGCACATTCCGACAGGGGAGTTTTGTTCGAAGTGCTCTACGTCTAGCCTTTGACTCAACAGTCTAACTCACAAGGCAGTGGGGTATATGAAAGTTCTCTTGAGGGACAAAAATCAAAGCTCCTGGCACAAAAGCCTGACTTACAAGGCAGTGGGGAGCAAGTCCAGCACAGGAGTGTGATTGCAAGGATCCACCTGAATCCGCTTGAGGCCTGTCGCACGCAGCGTTTCACAGCGATTCACATATGTATTACGACTGTAATAAGTTACATACCTGCGACCACCGCCAGCTGTAGGTGGGAGTTGGTGGGTTTTCACCTATTTGACCAAGGGCTGCCTGGCTTTAGGCGGGCGTACACAAACCATTGAGCACAGGGTGGTGTTTCTCAAAGTCAGGGAAAATGCATGGTACTCGTGCCTAACACTAAGTTTATAGCCCGTAAACCAGTTGTCTCTCACTTCTATGTTTTAAAGGAAAAAGGACCACCGACCTCTTCTCAATCTCCGAAGAGGATTGTGAAACTGATTTAGTCTGACCCCTAACCATTGGCTTGTTTGATATGAGTGGTTCTGAAGGCACGTGGAAAGTGCCGCCAAGCGTCGATCGATGGGTCACGAATCTACGCAAGCCATCACACCTCGTTAAGGTCCAGTCTCGTCGCGCACGAGAAAATTTAAAGTAAGACGAAGTTATGTCAGCGAAGGATCGAAATCTCGACAAACCTATTATTTTCCATAAGGCACAGTAGAAATATCAAATCGCTTTCAGTACGTTCAAAGCTGTCACGTGACGCAGACACGTACCTCGTCACTGGTCGAGGTGGATCAAAATTGTTATTTTAGGCAGCGGACCTAGCTGTTCTGGGAGTTGGGCATCTCTGAACTGACCCACAAATAAGTGTTGATTTTCTCACCATGTGCAGTTCTTCTGTAGCTAGTACTTTGGGCCAAACCGTTGAGCTGAGAGAAGATCGCTTCAGCGTGCATTGCGTGGTAAGGTATAAGTTGATAATAAAATTAATGCAGTTTCTAATCTTAAACCTCAGATGCACATATCTTGGCTCAAACTCAACATTTTTATTCGAAATAAAATCCACTTGGATTGGTACACTTCTGCCAATTGGAAACAAGTTTAGTTAGCCCGGGTGAATGAAATTTCAGAGTTCGGGTGGCGACGAAATCGTCGAAGGCGGATTCAGCATGTACTTGGGGTTTAAAACTTTTCTCTCGAAGTTATCCAGGTGCCTGAAAAAGTGGTAAACGGTTAGTGAGTGAGGCAATGTTCGGTAGCCAAGCTTGTGCAGCTTCCACAGCGTCGTTTGTACGATGTGCGGCCGAGTTATTATGGAAAAGAATTGGCCCCTTTCTATTGACACCTATTTCGACGTTTTCGGCGCATTTCGACAATTTGTTGACAATACTTTCTAAAGGTGTAATGGTTTTCTCTGGATTCAGGAAGCTGTGATGAATCAGACCAACTGCAAGACCATCAAACAGTCACCAAAAACCGTTTTGGGTGCAATTTCGAATTCGCTAGTTGTTATGAGAAGTTCGTTGATAATTGTTGTAAAGGGTTCAGCTTTCAACGCAAGTCATAATACGGTCAAGAAACGGGTCGCTTTTATAGCATAAAAGAAGGAAAGACAACACCACAAAACGACAATTTCTTTGATTTTCATTCAATTCGTGTAGCACCCACTTATCAAGCTTTTTTGACATTCCAATATTAAGTGCATGTAGAAAAACTGTCACGCGCGATATGCTACGTCAGCAGAAAGATCTCGAATAATTTTACGAGGATCCGCTTTAACTAAAGCCGTAGGTGTCCACTTCTAATAACCTTCCACAACGCTCCTCATCTTCAAGCCTCTCGTAAGCGATTCGAGATTATTGAAACCACCACTGCGCAGTACGGTTATTATTGGTTCCACTACCAAAGGCAGTGTTGACATCATGGGCTGTTTCGGCTACATTTCGAACAAGTTTAAACTGGTACAAGAAAATTCTGTGAATTTGTCTTCTGTCCGTGCTGCATGAAATGTTCTATAAAGATGTAAAATCTAGTTTCTGAGCTAAACTATCGCTTTTGAAAGATAGAGCGTAAAAGAGGCTTCGAAATGATATACAAGTTCAAAGCAACTTATTAAAGATTATGCAAAAAACACAGCTGTTAAAATACAAATATCGAAAAACCGCAATAACTTTATTACCAACCTAATATTGTAGCATGCACGCGCATGAGGAAACGGAACACCCAATGGGATAATGAGGCACGAGTGGATCAGATGACACAAAACGCGAACGTCAGCGAGAAACTACGGTGGTTTGCGTTCCAGCCAGTGACACTAAGACTAACCACCAGGAGTAGTGGCAATGAATGCAGCATCGATGTGGTCTCATGGAAACCAATAGTCGAAAGGGTGGTCTTGGAACAACGGGAAGGATCGAACTATCGGACGGAGTTGACAATGAAAAGAGGGATGGAACTCATTCGAAAAAGTGCAATACGACTTACCGACTATCTGGTGACAAGTGGGCAATAAACAAGCCAAGTAGATGTCCAAAAGATTCCGTAGAGCATCTGAGGGAACTGCATTCAGACTGTCATCTGCTAATGACTTGGGGAGATCGGAAACCGATTGAGGAGGGTCATGCGTTACAAGCAAGGAGTTCGACAATGAAGTCGCTATGCACATAATCAACTGCGAACTGTAAGTCCCGAAGGATCTCGGGTATTTGCCATCTTTGATGGGATGTGTCGGAACCACTACTTCATCCCAAACTCGCAGATTCACGTTGTCTGCATGGGTCGATGAAGTCGGTTCTGCTAGCTCTCGATTGCTGTTGAAAACGATTCCGAGTGAAGCTATACGCGATCGGGAAAGAGACATATCGTCATCACTTTCGAACAGGCAGTCTGACAAGCTGTGCAGCAAGCCTTTGGCGTGAGCCCAACGAGCATTGCCAGAATCCCCATGTACAAGACCCCTGATGCAAGCAAGAGTCGGTTGTCTGACAGTGGCGTAACACGGATGATTTGCGAGCAATACAAGGGTGCGGTAGATGCCACTGAAAGGTAAGGGGAAGAAAAACGTGATTGATCGACAAAAACGGCAAGTGTGCGAAAACGTTGATGGGGAAAATGAGAAAGTGAAACATAGGCAAGCATGGGCGCATCAGGCACGAAATATGAGAACACTTAACGGAGGTTAACATGGTAGCCTGCGTGTAGCCCGTGAGGTGTAGTGGCTCGAATGGGGCGGCCAGTAAACCCTACACTCTGGGGTTGAGTATTCACTCCTGTGTCGGTTTGGGCAGCGAATTCCGCGCACAACCGCTTGAAAATGCAGGGAAACGAAGCCCCAGTACTGTAGCACTGTCGCACAGTTCCGAACGAGCACAGGTAAACATGGCTGAGCCACATGTGACGAACTGAGTGAATTAAGGAACTTGGTTAGATACCGAAGGCGAGAAAAGTTCGACATCGAAGGTCCCAGTGAATGAAGCAGCATTGTACTTGAATGGTAGATGCAACCGCTTCTAAAAATCATCCTTTGGTGAAGTGTGTGAAGTAGTTCTGAGGAGTCACGTTTCACTTTCAATGACAATCTATTGCACGTGAGGAAAGCGTTCGCCGACTACATGCTACCGATGGAGCAATGGATTGTGACTGCGCAAGCCTCAAATGTAAAAACTGATGAAACCCGCGGCCGATCCCGAAAATGACCCGGGAAAGAGGAAAATGATTACGGTCCAACCATTTGTCAGAAGGATTTGTGGCAGCCAGACTCGAGAAAGACAAATAGAAGAGAGTAGTAGGGGGATTTGAATACTGCAATTAAAAAAGCATCACATCTAGTAAGTTTGGCAAGTCGGACGTCAGCGTCCATTGTAGCTCAGTGCTCTTAATCACAAACTGGTAACAGTTGAGTTGCGGGACGAGATGGAATGCACATTGCCGACGATTTACGAAGGGATGAAACGGCTGTATAGTGCTTTTCCGGGCGTGTCATGGCAGATACCACACGCGTCGGTGTATGATGTGTCGTCAAATTGCAAAAGACTGGGAGGACTCACCAACATTTCTAACTATCGCCGGTGAAACGCTTGAATTTGCCATAGGCTTACTCATTACGGAAGTCATTTTAGTGAGTAAGCTACCTTACACGCTAATGTGGCCTTGCAAGACCTCAGACGGAGAGCAAGGGAAAAGTCTGGAGGCTTCAAGCACGAGCAGTGTTACCATGGGTCGTTGCGTGTGGAAGACTGACCGTGTTTAACCACCGACGCCCGCGATAGCACCGATGTATACTGTAACCTGTCATTGGGTGCTTGGAAACAGACTCAGTAAGGCCATATCTGAGTCTGTGGAACCCGACTGAGTCCCTTTCATCGGTTAGGCTAAGTCTTTCGCATGCACGATAATTAGCGTTTAATGACTCGTGTTGGGTGGGGGTCTTAAGTGATCAGTCACTGTGAAGATCAGAAGGTACATGAAGGAACTCGCCGAAAGGCTGCATCAGGTTGGTTGGGGACCTCGAGATAGGCAATATCAGTGGGCGGATCTCTTATCAAATATAGCGTCGCTGCGAAGCCAGTAGTGGCCTCAGACTCCTGATCCTTAGCTAATCTGTTGGGTGTAATCCATCCGTCTTATAGTATTAGCAACAAGAATATTTTTTAGTTCCCAACTGAAAATGCTCCCAGGCGGGTGTATAAAGCTTATCTTGACTTGAACCGAAGCCATTGCACCTCGGTGTATGAAGCAGGGTTCTTCAACAACTGAAGTGAGTTACACTATCGGGAGCACAACGTAAATGACGTGTGGACGTACGCAGTCTCTCAGTGTAAGGTGAGATAGGAAGACCGATGCCGTAAACCATTTGGCAAACGCGAATGTAAGATAATGGTTGATTGATTATTCCACTTAGATGCTCAGCGAATATTGCTAGAACCGAGTCAGACGAACAGTTAGTAAGCGTTCGCATGCTATCTCGATAGGTTGCAACGTTTGAGAATTATCAGCAGTACGCTGGTACTCAGTATCGAGCTTGCTGTCCGTACCCCCAGTAGTAGCGCGTGGGCTACGGATACTGCGAGGGTCGCCCGGTCCCCTACGCAAGCTCGAACCCGCGCCCTCGGGTTACAAGGCAGGCTTGTGATCTTTTAGGGAACGAGGCCAAAGGAGAAGCATGGAGATCACTTGAATAGTGGCATATAAAAGTAAGTGAGGATCTCCGATTAAACATGGTCCTTGTGCTGCACAGACAATCATCTACGAAGGTTTAGGGTTGGAAAGGTATAGAGCGTGATCAATGGAGTGGGCGAACGGCCCCACGTGGAAGCTGCGAGTCAGAAAGGGGCAGAAACTCACCTACAGGTTTCTGGAGAGATGAATTGACTTACACCGCGGAGAAACAGCGCAAGGAGAGCTCCCAATTTGCTAAGAGCTGGATGGAGAAGGGTTAAGAAGTAACCACATGGGACTAACTGTAATCAGGGGCAGTCTGTAAGAAGCGTTCACTGAACCAAGGTTTGCGCCTGGAGGCAGGCGCACTTCCGACCACCAATAAAGTCCAAATAGGGGTCGGAGTAAGGCTCGATTTGACAGTATCTTCGGACAATGACTTGGTTGAAGCCAAGAAATGTCGCATCCATATAAGTGAAGCACACACAGACTCCGATACAAGAGGAGAATGATTGGGTTGGCCAACCGCATGCTGAATCGTTTTCAAAAGACTCGCTTGTAGCGTTGGGGTGAGTCGGTCTTCGATGTTTACTGTGGGAAGGCAAAATAGTTAAGCGAATAATGTTTGAATTGCACGAAACGAAGTAAAACTAAAGAATGATAAGCATGACTGGCTACATTGGAAACCGTAAGAAAAGTAACCGAGCTCTTACCAAAAGAAAAAGAGATAACTTTAATAATGAAAAAATGCAGGTGTTTTTGGACAAACGATAGAACCACATGCATTCAGCCATTCTCCGCAAATGCGACAGGAGAATATAGTAAAGCCGTGGAGGAAATGCAGATAGCTGAGAAGCCGGAGATTCTGGAAAAGATGCAACAGATGCTTGCTCCGAACCGGCCCAACGGAGACTTTAAAGCCACGTCAGTGGATACCCGGATGGTGAGGTTAATTTGGATGAGGCTATCCCTAATTAATGGGTAGAAATTCGAGAAAATATACAACAAGTTGCCAAACACACATGGTTGAGGCACCCGGTTTCAGATTTGCCTGTCACTGTGGTCAGCCACAGGACGCCTGCGCCTACAGAGGGACCATGGATGGCTTGCGCTGCACCACACACAGCTCCAAGCACACACCCCATATCCAGTGTAAACCCGAAGGAATAAGACCGGGAGGCATGCGGATGGGAGCCACGTTTCATCAACGGAGCCGGCCCACACTCCTTTACAGACAAACAAAAGCACGCTGTATTTGGGAATCAAGCGCACACAAGGCGGTGGCTGGACCGTAGTCCGCTCCATACTGAGTGCATGGAACCGATCTTTGAGCCTAGCACGGTCACAAGGACCGTGCACCCCGTCCCCTCCAGCAACGACCAACCGTCTCCTGGAGCCAGCATGGACGAGGTAGTGGGTAATAGACAGGTAGGCACCTTGTTAATATGCACATCAAGCACAGCCACACCGAGGATATCAAGCAACAGCCATTCACTTTAAACGACAAGCTGAAATAAAATAAATCCAATAATCCATACAGATACGGTGGCATAACTCTTCCCTAAATTACCATATGAAGTAAGTTGGTTAGATACGAATCTGCGATCAGTACAAAATATTCACAAGCTACTTAACAATGCTACGAACGCAACAAAATTACCGAAGATAAGCGCAATTAGCGTAAGCAACGTGGCCAGTTAATAGAACATTATTCAGGGAGGCAGAACAAACCAAATAAAGCGGAATGAAATTTATGCAGCTTAAAGAGACCCAGTTTAAGTGTAAGTTGGTTTAGCCCAACTGCGGTGAAGAAGCATCAAGAATGCAACATCAGCCTCAGCATGCGGAACTATATATATATATATATATATATATATATATATATATATATATATATATATATATATATATATATATATATATATATATATATATATATATATATTCACAAGTCTGCATACAGGCAATGTGCAATCAGAACCATGGTAAAAGGGAAGACAACAAGCGTACGAAAGAAAACAAGAAAAGCAGTTCTTGTTTGGGTTTAACACACGCCATTTTGGGTTTTTCGTTTCTTTTTAGATGTATAAAGATAAACTTGAGATTAAGCAACAGATAAAAAGGGGACAACAACACTGGCGCCACTGATGTCTGTTACGTGCAATCACTTCCAGCAGTTGCAACCATAGAAATTCCGAGCCACGTGGTCCCCAACCAACCTGGAAGGTGCGCTGATCCGATTGAAGCCAAGCTTGAGGCCGTTTTCTTCATGCTTCTTCTCCAAGTCATTGGTTGTCCACCGCGATACTTTTTCCAATCACTTCCGGGAAGCGCAAATAATGTTCACTGGGGAAGGCGAGCGGCTGGCATCTGCAGTACGAGGCCGAGCCAACGCATGCGGTGTATGAGAACAACGTTTTGAAGGCTGGGACTGTTCGCTCCAAGCACCCATTTATGAACCTCCGTATTGCGTATGTGACGTTGCCACCACACACAGGTAATCATTCGGACGAAAGCATTGTACACCCTGCCCTTGAGCTTCAATCTGAAGTTATGACGACACCATAGGTGTCTCAGTTTGATGAAAGCAAGGCGGGCTTTTACAATGCGCTGTGAAACCTCAGCTCCAACATCGCCACCAGCCGTGATGCGACTCCCTGAATAAGTAAAGCAATTTACTTGTCCCAGAATCTCACCAGCAATGGTGAGCGCAGACACAGGTTCCCGCTACTCCTGAATTAGTTCCTTACATTTGGCTGCGGTGAAATACAAGCCATAATTAGATGGCTCAATCGTTAAGCGGTTCAAGGTGCTTTGGACGATCTGCAGATCGTCACCCAGCAAAACGATGTCATCGGCGTAGACCAAGCCTACGATACTGGCGCAATCCTGGCACCTTCTAGCGCTCATTGCACGACATCTTCGGTGGCAAAATTGAAAAGGAAAGGTGAAATAGGGCAACCTTGGAGAACGCCGTTGGTGACCGTAAATGAAGAGGAGTCTGCCGTAAGCCCTAATTTGCAAGATGTGTGACTGTACAGTACCCTCAGAATGGCCGGCACATCCTTCCTTATTAGACAATTCCATAAAGCAGCTATGTCTAATGAATCCAATGTCGCGCGGATGTCCAGGAACTCTACGATTGTTGGTCGACGGTGGACGTGGTGGAACTCGAGAATTTGTCGGAGAGTTAAGATTTGATCAGTGCAACTTCCGCCCGGGCGAAAACCGGTTTATTTTTCTCGGGAAAGACCCACTCTGGTGGAGAAAAGACTGCCAATTGAAATGGACACAAAAATCGTGGAAACAACTGAGATCAGCAAATTCCGCGGTGATTAGCACAATGTTCTCGGGGCCTTTATTGTGAAGTGGGACGACTGAGTCTCCCTATGAGTTGAGAATTTTCTCATCAGTCCAAACCTTTGTGAAAAGCGAAAGCAATTCGTTGACAAATATATCCCCGCCATGTTTGAAAAGAGCAGGAGGAAGGCTGTCAGGGTTGGGAGCTTTATGTCGTTAGTAAGATCGGATTGCATTTCAGATATCTACTTCGGTAGGAGGGTCAATGGGCACAGGCCAAGAATTATCCGATGGAGGTGGATGTGTCACGAAGGGTTGTGCTGGGTAGTTAAAATGAAGAGCAAATTGCTCCTCAGCCCAGCGATTCAATCGTTCCTGCAGGTTGGTGATTTTTGTGCCGTCTAACTCACAGATTGTCTAACTGATGGCGCGTAAATGGCAACTGGTTGTCATGATGAGGAGAAACAAACGGCTGCAGTTTCCAGCCGATGCAACGGTCCCCATCTCAGCAGCACGTTTAGACCATAAGGATTAAAGGGCAGAGTGAAGGCTTGCTTTAATTTGTAAAGAAATAGACCGACGGCTTTCGTTGTGTTCCGTGCCAGCGAGCACGGCGCGTCGACGATCTAGAAATTTTGAGGAAGTTGCCGAGATCCAGCCTTTAGCTGAGCAGCGGAAGTGTCCGCAGCTAGGCAAACCTGCGGGCAGCATGGCGTTTTGCAAGCCTATCAAGTGCCGGTCAGCATCCAGAGAAGATGAGGGGCAAGGTTTTCACGAAGCTTCTGTTGATACTCCGTTTGTACTGCAAGGTCTTCCAATTGCCAAATGTTCAGTCGGGTTTGTTTGGCTCTTGGGAAGTCACCGAGGCGCATGCTAACTGTCATGCACACCAATGCATGATCGCGATCGCGTGTGCTTCCACGACACCTTCTACTTATGGTTTTGTGGGCAATTTGCGAGCAATGCTGGGTTGATGATGGAGGACGTCAAGTAGCATAATGTCGCTTGGGACGACGAAAGCTCGTACCGGAGAGGAAACGTTGGTGGTTGCCACACAGACTGAGTAATCCTTCTCCATTGTCAGGGTGAACATTTTCATATCCATGTGGTCCCCAGTGGTGGCGTTCAGATGGAAGCAGCTGATCAACGCGTGAGTTGAAATCTTTTGCCATAATGAGAATGTCCGTTTTAGGTACCCTTAGGAGCAGCTCATGAAGACGTTGAGAGAACTGGTCCTTGACTTCATCTAAGCTGCAGTCAGTGGGAGGATAGGCGGAGAACACAAAAAGAGTACGCTTATCGGTCCGATGTCTGCTAACCTTTTAGGAGCCACGGAGACTAATGGCACAGTGAGGACTGTAGATTGGAATCAATACAAGGAGGACAGCCTCGGCTCTAGAATTGAGCGCAATCCCAACACCAGCTTGTTAAAGGGATCTTAGTATATGTTACGCCAACACGAAACCAGAAAACACTACTAGGTGATAAGACAGCTATTCGGGTAGAGTAAGGACAATTGTACACCAAAGGGAAACAAGGAAGAGGCGAAAGTCGCATGAGCCACAAGGACGCTGAAGCATAATCAATAGCTATGGTAGGCAGTACATACACGCGCCCGCATGCGCACAACAAGCGCCTGGTATTGTGTATCAGTATATCACTGGCTGATCAAGATGTAGGAACAGAGTGATACTGCCGGATGTGTTGCACAGAGATTGTGGGTGAGTGAAGTACAGTTGAGCCGGGGATACAGATCTGTGCACCAAATTCTGGCACACGTAGCCGGACTGACTTATCTGCCATAGCATTACACGTAGAGGGTAAAAAAGAACAAGTGAACGTAGAGGTGAATGCGAAAGGAGGTGGTGAATAGGTTTTGGACATAATGTAAGGAGTCGAAAGCAAGAGTGTCATTGAGTTTGCCATCATTCCAGATTCGGCAGGAGTAGACGAGATGTCCCAATCCAGGAGGATGATAAACACTTGAGTTATGTATCCATGCCATGTGATTGGCTGGTCACTTGGTGCTTTTCCAAATGGTTGCGGTGGTTTACGGGCATGTGAGGGACGGTACTTGTTCTGGGCATATGGTAGAACCTACAAGACACACTGGCGTGAGTGCCACTGTTTGTTCGGACATCCTTACCTACCTCTATCTAAGCGATCTCCATGCTTCTTCTTTGGCCTCGTTCCTTCTCCAACTCGTAGGAACGTTCGAAAGTTTACTGAATGTTTGTCTGATTCGGTTCTAACGATATTTACTGAACGAAGATTGGGTTCCCCTATTCGGT